CATTCGCATCACTAAAACAAAAACACGAAAAAAATCTAAAGAAGTTTAGTCAAAAAGTGGGATGATAGTGAAAGGACAAAAAAAAGTTCTATAGAAAATAAATCCATGTAGTCGTGTTTATAAAATCATAATAATGTTGTTTCCTTATGATTAGCAACAACCAAAAAAATGAGCTAACCTAGTGATTCACAAAATCATAAGCGAATACTGCAAAATAGAATTGAGAAGCAAAATGCACTCCAAAGAAGCACATTAGTTTCAAGCAAGACACAAGCATCTTTTACGAGAACATTCATGGAAGCCGCTTGAAAGCAACAGAAGGAGAAATAATGGGGTTTTAATACTAACACCTACTGAACCATTTTGTTTAATACTAACACCTCAGTATTCAACCATTCTCCTGATGCTCTACAATTAGACCAATTACCTCTAACAACACATGCTGCAAGCGACAAAACTCAAAAGAGCTCTATCTGAACATAACTAATATTCATGCAGAGTCATTTAATATCCATGTCAACCTTATGTTGCAGTCTTTTTCTCCGCATTATTACATGCTTCCGTTATTCCATAATATGTAAGCTCAATATCTATTTACTTTCTCCGCTTTCTATTGGGACTATAGCACATATATGAGGGTTTACTTGTGTAAGTGGCACAGCGAAAGGAGAACTGACAATTTTCTTATATGTTTCTAGGCCTTCAGGTTAAGCCTCTTGAAGATATCTAATTGTAAACAAAAGCTAAAAAAGAATCATTCTTATCAAGATTAAACACAAAGCAAAGGGATTCGCTTACGCACGGATTATAAGCATAAGTAAGGTTTCTCATAGTAAAAGTCACAATATAATACATACACATATACATAGTAAATGCAACAACCCCGTAAGCATGGACCAAATAGATAAATTTAATCGAAAAATAAAAAATAAAATTAAACAAGCCAAGCTAAGAGCTAGCTTCAAATTGTTTCAGCTGGAAGAAAGTTTATTGATCAGGCATGAAATTAACATTTAGCTAAATATCCTGGCCTAAAACCACAGTTCATGCCGGGCAGTCAAAAGATGCTCCCCCTCCGAACCCTCCAACCCCCCCCCCCCCCCGCTCCCCTCCCCCTCCCACACCGATGGGGATGCAATAAGAACTCATTGTCTTTTACGCTAATACATTAGCATAGAAAGCCTACAGCTATCTCAAGTTGAATCCAATATTGCTTTTCACATTAATGAACCGGTCCAAGAGCAAAATCCTAATTACTCATCGGCACCTAGTGCTAAATGCAATCAGACCAAAACTAAAGAACTGATAAAAATCTAATTTTTCCATCTATGCACCAAATAATTTCCCAAAAATAACAACAACAAAAAAATCAAAAAAATCTGACCTTGTACGCGATTGATGAGATTCTTTGAGGATCTTTCTCTTGAGGAGTTTGCTCAGCCTCTCTAAGACCGAATGAGAGAGGCGAGGTGAGTCGGCGAGGTGGGTCAGTGAGGACGAGGGCACAACAAGGACCGAGAGTATGACGATGTGATTCTGTCGGAGGGGGGTGGGGAACGAGAGCTTTCTCGAGCAATTTTCATCGAGGCGGAGGGGGTGGGGTGGGTCGGTGAAGAGAGAGGGGGGGGGGATTTTTTGTCGGGAGAGAAGGGGAAATTTGTGAAGAGGAGGGGGGATCTTTCCGTCAGGAAGGGGGGGATTTGGGAAGGGGGGATTTTTTCACGAGGGAGGGTGTCAGGAACTGATCATCAGTTTGGAAACCAAACTGGAAATTAACCTGGAAACCAACCACTTGAGCCAAGAGCTTGGAGCTGGGGACTGATACCCAAATCTTCAGGACTGATATGCAAAGTTCCGGACTATCATGCAAAGACTTTTTAATACAGGGTCTTGTAATAAACGCTCAGTTAGTTTCGTTTACAATTAGTTAGTTGTTTTCTGTTTTTCTGTTAAAAACTGTTTGTGCACAAACAGTGTTTAGGCACGTGTACTGAGAGCTTGAGCGCCTGATCTAGATTGTATAAATAAGAGTTTGTAAGAGAATGAAGATCATGAATGAAATTAGAATTGTTCTCTTCTCTCAATTCTCATTCCCTGTCTCAATTCTCTCTCACTCTGTCTCTCAATCCTCTCTCACTTCCTGTCTACAACTCTTCTTCAATCTATCTCATTTCTCTCAATTTTCTTCTCTATTTTCTCTCAGGTATCACCATAGCCACAGCCATGGCCAGAAATGAAGCTGGAAGGTTCAACAGGGGATTGAGATCCTCACAATTGGTATCAGAGCTTTGCTTATTCGATCAACACTGGGCGGAGATGTTTTCTCAGCTGGAAGAAAATGCAAAACTTCTCCAAGAACTCAGGAACTCCACGGATCTGGGCCAAGGAATTTGGGGTTCAGGGACGAAGAACGATCGGCGATTCTTGAGCTCAGAATCAAGAAGCGAATCAAGAAAACCCATGTTTGATTTCACTGAAAGCAACCATCAATCTCAGAGGAAGTATGTTGGTGTTCTTGTAAGCAGCTCAACGTGCTTCCACTCTAACCCTAATTTCCCCAAATCGCCAAATCCAACAAAGAAACCCTCTTCCCGCGAAACCCATCTCCAATCTTTCCCAGTATCTCCAAATTCAACTCAGATTTCTTCTTCCAAGGAAACCCAACGAAGGTGTTCGAAGAAATGCCTTAGTGAGCCGTTGAGATCCACCAAGAATCTGCAGGGGTCTTTGAGGCGCTCGTGGAGGAACTGGAATCGATCACCTAAAGTAGATGTTGATCTCTCTCCAACATCTGAATCAAGGAAGAAGAAGACGAAGAAGCCGCAATCTTCTCGTCTCCACCGATTTCCAACACCTGATGCAAGGAAGAAGAAGACGAAGAAGCTGCAGTCTTCTCGTCTCCACCGAAAGCCAAAACTCAAGAAACCACCATGGCCAACCTTAAGCAAGAGAAAGCCAAAGCTCAAGATCCCACCGTGGCTAATCTCAAGCAAGAAGAAGAAAAAACCCAACAAGAAACCGCCAGTTTCAAATGTTTCAGCCATGGCCAGCAACACAGTTTTAGCCATGGCCAGCAACGGAGCTAAGAGAATCATCAGAGGATTGAGATCCTCAGCTCTCATCCTCAAGTTTCTGCCTAATTTCGTTCGCCACCTCAGCAACAAGGCTCGCCGGAACTGCGGCAACATCGGAATTGCTCAAGTCGCCGCGGCCTCTTGGGCCAACTCGCCGTCTGATGAGGAATCTCTCCCTTCCGCCTGTAAAGAACACGCTCTGCAAAAGGAGCTCATAGGCCAGGGAACTGAAAAGTTAGATCTTCAAGGGAAAGTTGTGGTGCTAGGGTTCATCGATTCACATGTGCATTTAATAGCTGGCGGATTGCAGATGGGGCGAGCGGAACTTCGAGATGTCAAAAGGCAAGAAGATTTTGTACAGAAAGTCAAAGAAGATGTTAGAGATAAAACTCCTGGTGAATGGGTATTAGGTCATGGATGGAACAATGATATTTGGGGAGCTTTACCTGGTGCTTCTTGGATAGATGGGATTACACATGACAATCCTGTTTGGTTATCTCGTAGGGATGGTCATATGGGAGTTGCCAATTCACTAGCACTGAAGATTGCCGGAATCACTAATATTACAAAAGATCCAGTTGGTGGCTCCATTCTAAGAACTATGGATGGAGAACCTACTGGACTACTGGCTGATTCAGCGATGAAACTTGTACTTGATGTGATTCCTGAGGTCTCAGTTAGTGAGAGGAGAAATGCATTGTTAAAGGCGAGCAAATATGCACTGATGAAGGGAGTGACAACAGTAGTTGATGTAGGAAGATATATTCCTGGTACACCAGTAGATCATCCTTGGCAAGATCTTTCAGATGTTTATATGTGGGCTGATTCCACTGGTAAAATGCTGATCCGAGTGTGCTTATTCTTTCCAATACAGTCATGGTCTTGTCTAGCTGAATTTCGTGAAAAGAAAGGATCATCCTTAAGTCAGTGGATTTATTTGGGTGGTGTCAAAGCTTTTGCTGATGGGTCCTTGGGTTCCAACAATGCACTCTTCCATGAGCCTGATGAAGATGACCCTCACAATTATGGTTTGAGAGTGACTGATTTTGACGGACTGATTGATTTCAAAGAAGGCAGACAGGGAGGCTTTGAGTGTGGACGATATGGAAAACCAACTACTCAGGTGTTGGAGAAGAAGATGAGTGCATTGGAGAGGGCTGAAACCACTTTGTTTGTGTCCTCTGGCATGTACGCCAGTTGTGCGGTGCTCTCGACCCTGGTTCCTGCAGGTGGCCATATCGTTACAACAACTGATTGCTATAGGAAGACAAGGATGTTCATTGAGAATGAGCTTCCAAAGAAGGGAATCGTTTGACATCTCAAGTTCTCGTCAAATGGAAGCAGCGCACTTCATTAGATTCAACTTGGGAGCCTTCCTGGGAACTTGTTAAACAATTTTCTACATTTGACCTTGAGACAAGGTCCAATTTAAGGGGAGGGAATTGTCAGGAACTGATCATCAGTTTGGAAACCAAACTGGATATTAACCTGGAAACCAACCACTTGAGCCAAGAGCTTGGAGCTGGGGACTGATACCCAAATCTTCAGGACTGATATGCAAAGTTTGGGACTATCATGCAAAGACTTTTTAATACAGGGTCTTGTAATAAACGCTCAGTTAGTTTCGTTTACAATTAGTTTTTTTTTTTTTTTGTTAAAAACTGTTTGTGCACAAACAGTGTTTAGGCACGTGTACTGAGAGCTTGAGCGCCTGATCTAGATTGTATAAATAAGAGTTTGTAAGAGAATGAAGATCATGAATGAAATTAGAATTGTTCTCTTCTCTCAATTCTCATTCCCTGTCTCAATTCTCTCTCACTCTGTCTCTCAATCCTCTCTCACTTCCTGTCTACAACTCTTCTTCAATCTATCTCATTTCTCTCAATTTTCTTCTCTATTTTCTCTCAGGTATCACCATAGCCACAACCATGGCCAGAAATGAAGCTGGAAGGTTCAACAGGGGATTGAGATCCTCACAGAGGGAAACTTTTGCGAGGGGGGCAGTGGCGGCTGGGGGGATTAGGTTTAAGGGTTTTCTTCTTTTGTTTTTGTTTTTTATAAGATCAACCTTGTAGGCGTCTAAAAATACCTATAGATGTCCATACACAGCTTGAGATGGAGAAAAGACAACGAACGTCGTTATCCGAGTCTAAGAGGATTATTTGTCGTCGACAAGCGTATGAAGCGAAACGACGAACCAAGTGGCACGTGCGTGTCAATCAGTTCGTGCGCGTCGGTCAACACGCGCACGTCAACCAACACACGCAAGTCAACCAATGCGCGTTCGACGGTCAGTCTCGCAACGAAATCGTACAAGTAAACAAGACGGTCAAACACGCAAAACGGTGGAAAATACAAGTCCCAAAAGAGTCGGAAAACCAAAAAAAGTATCAAGCTTGGGAACCCCGCGCCGATGCGGGACGGCCGAAATCGATCCGCACCAACGCGGGTCGGCCGAAACCGACC